GCCGGAGGTTCAGAAGTGTGAAATGCAGGACCACTAGACTGAAAAACTCTTTCTTTCCCTCTGCCATCAGACTCCTAAACAGCTGAGGAGTTTACTACCAGGAAATACGTGATGCACTGACGACCTGTACTGTTTACACATGCATAATTGCACAATGACTGTTGACTGCTGCACATGCTGCTCCCATGCAGCGTACATTCTCTATTATATTCTTTTGCTGGATTGCTGCATTTGTTGCATTTATTGCTGCCTAAAGTGTCCTAGATTTTGTTACATGCACAACTCTGCTGCACATGTTGCTCCCATGCAGCATACATTGTCATATTCTTGTTTTTTTTTTTTTACTATATTGCTGCATCTGCTGTTGCCTAAAGTGTCTTAGATTTTGTGTTATTTATCTACTTTATATTTAATTTGTATTTTGTGGCATTCATGTGGACGGCAAAGTAAGAATTTCATTGTACAGGGAAACACGTTTCCTAACTGTGCATATGACCAATAAACACTTTGAACCTAAAACCTCATCCTGTCAACAAAAAATAAAGAGAGAGAGAGAGAGAAAGGGAGCTGCTGATGAGTCAGAGGAGGCTGATTCTGATGTAATCCTCCAACCTCTGCCTCCTTCTATTTCCTCTGCCTACACAGCTGCCCTTGGGTGTTCAGGTCACAGCCTGGCCCCCCACAGATATACAGAAACACACCATATCGTATTGTACATTTAATCTTGTTACTTTCAGTTTTCATGTTTTTGTTCTTCCCCTTTTGGGAGCAATAGCAATTCTTTTTCAATCTTATTTGATTTTTCCATACGATTAGCCATGGTGAGAAGAGTGATGGCAGAAATCCCTGAAATGAAGTGTATCTGTTTTCATTTGATTCAAATAGTCTACATCAAACCTGTAATTAGAAACAGAAACAAAGCATAAGGGGGTCTGAATACTTTCCGTACCCACTGTATGTTACTGCGTGACTGTGTGTTAAATAGGCAAGTGTTTTCTAACATGATTGCCAATGCTAGGTAAGGTACTATTATGTCACTGTTCTTTTTTCAACTGGGTGTTCACAAAGTGGCCAAAAAATAAATTAACCCCTAAGGGGGAAAAGCCGAAAGTGGCTTTCTTTTCTTGGCTTTAAAGTTTCATATGTGGGTGCTGCAAATGAAGTAACTGTCTTCTACTGTAAGTATAAATTTAAGAATTGCACTTTGAGTTTGAGCTTATTAAATAAATAGCCCAACAAGAAACGCAACATAATGATAATAATAATAACACAACATACTCGAAGTCACATTACAGGATAAGTAAAATAAAAAATCCTAAAGAACTAAAAACACAATAAAACCATGGGGCAACACATGACATCAAATCAAGCATTGTGAGCAACTCTGAGAAGATGAGTTTGGAGTAACTTCTACAGACATGAGGTTGGGGTCAGATGGTTGGAATCTATGGGAGGGAGTGTGCCAGAGGAGAAGTTTGTTGAGGCTGGACGGGGCCTGCTTATACAGGGTTTTGTGAGTGAAGAGAGAGGTTTTGAATTGAATCCATTGCAGGTAATTTAAGTGATGCAGTCGCAGAAGAAGTAGTACCTATGGCTCATTAGACAGTAAATATCACAAACGAAACATTTTTTTTAGTAATATCTTATGCCAGCTAATAGTCCAACCATATCAGAGTCAGAGAAGTTTAGTTGTTCTTTTTCATTCTTTTTTTTTCCACTGGGGGCGGCTGTGGCTCAGGAGGTAGAGTGGGTCATTTCCTAACTGGAGAATTAGCAGTTCGATTCCCAGCTTGTCCAGTCAACATGTTGAAGTGTCCTTGAGCAAGACATTGAACCCCCAGTTGCTCCCGGTGATAACACTGGTGTGAGTGCGAATGGATGAATGGCCAAGTAGTGTGAAAGCACTTTGAGTGTGCTGCAATGCATAGAAAATCACTATACAAGTATAAAACCATTTTACCATTCTATAAAGTATCTTGTAAGAATAAACAGTATGTACCTGCAAGTGTTTTACTTTGTCTTTCCC